TGGTCATGTACCCTGTCTTCTTTGGCATGGTCGTCTTGTACCTTGCTTCTTTTAGTTTTTTTGTTTTTTATCGGTGTGTGGTCCCAGTTAACCTTATCTTCTTTGGACATGGCCTTGTCCTCAATGGTTTTAGCCTGGTCCACTTCAATCTCCTCAATCATGTCTTCATCGCAGGCTTCATGAAGAGCAATCAAGTTGTAGTCATGGTCCGACATCATTGTTAGGAAATAAAATAGGGCTATTACAGTCAAACTGGATCAATAACTTGGCTAATTTTAAGTTTTACTTCAGAGCCTGCTGAAATCACCACCTCTCACTCCGCCATCTTAGGACCTCGTGTGGAGATCATGTTGATGATATCAATAGGCCTACACAGCGGGTTTTCCCAGTTTGATTCATTTAATATAAAATATTGATATAAAATAAAAAAATTGTAGCTACAAAATACATCCCATTCATTTCTGTTAAAACAAATCACACATTTGGCTCTTATTTTAAAGATATAGCCTAGTTGTTTTGTAAGTAGGAGTAATTAAGGGAAAAAAAATCTAAATTATTTTTTAGAGGGGATTTATTATGTTTATATGATTAATTTTATTTGTTTTATGCAATATACAATTTGGGGTTGCTGATAAAAGTGAAATAGACATGTAGGCTACATATATGTGTACATAATTGAATTAATGAGTTTGTTTAATATTGTTAACATTTATATTGAAGAGATTGTGACTGATATTTTAGATTAACATAATAGATATAGCTGTATTTTTATGTTGCTGAAAGCCATCGAAGCAAAACGAGGCCGCTGAACGAGCGTGACATAGGGCTCGAAAGCAGCGGAGCTTTTATTATGCCACAGTCGACCGCTTCCGCTCATTCCGGAAAGCAGTGGAAGTAAGCAGCGCTGTTTTATCATACTAGATACATTTGAACGTTCTGTTATAATGCTACTCTGTGCGGTCGTCACCTGTCTAATAAAATGCATAGCATATTAAAGCGTCTTTGGTGTTTCCATGTTTTTATTAATAGCAAATAAACAAATGTACATACAAAATAGGAATTGAACAAACAATATTAACAATTAACAATTCTCAAAGGCAGACATAGTTGCATAAATAATAATACTAATAATAATAAAAATAATAATTAAATTAATTAATTAAAATAAAGTAAAAATAATAATAAAAGCATTTATATAAAAGTAAGTTCTTACAAGGGGTAGCAAGGAGTTATAGGGCACTTATGCTGCGTTCAAGTCCTCCTGGGACGTTCGTACTTACGAGTTGACAAGTCGTA